GTCCGTAAAAGCCCGTTGATTTCGTCCATGCGTGTAGTATTATCAATTTCTTTCTACCTACTAATGAATGATAGACACCCCGCGTGTTTGCGAAAAACATCAGCGATGTGTCAGTTAGATGCCACACAAGCTCTAGTGACAGCACCAACGGCAATGCACATAGACCACGCGGCACTACTTACATATACCTTGTCAGGACACCTAGTCCCACACACTTGTGACGTGTGAAAATACAGACACGTCACCAATAACGTATTCATGGTGGCATAAATTACCGGTGGTGTGGATTAAAAATGACGCGCCACTAATTAAGATTGAGTGCAATCATTTGTTCGTTAGTGTGTATTTATTCGTCTCTAAGTACAAGCTTGGATGAGTTGGGACAGAATGACGTTGACGTATAATGGGCTGCCTAGTCTCTTCTATGAGATCGGTCTTTTGGTTGCATTGGTTAGAGCACGCACTTCTACATGGTATCGGAGTCAAGAGGCCTTGAGTTCAAGACCCGACTGGCGTAATTAAATTGCAGTCCACTTTCCGTCCACGTTTAGGTCTGAGGGAGCCACACGTGAGAGGGAGTGTTGATGTATAATGTGCTGCCTAGTCTCTTTCATGAGATCGGTCTTTTGGTTGCATTGGCTAGAGCATGCACTTCTACAAATGAGACTTCCTAAATCCATGGGGGTATGGGCTTTAGGGATATGACAGCGTTCAACCAAGCGTTATTGGCCAAGCAAGCTTGGAGACTTCTTGATTCCCCTGACAGCCTATGTGCGAGACTGTTGAAGACAAAGTATTACCCTCATGGTCAGTTGTTAGACACAGTGTTTCCAAACACTGGTTCTGCGGTGTGGAAAGGTATATTGCATGGGTTGGAGTTGTTGAAAAGAGGAGTTATATGGCGGGTGGGGGACGGGGAGCACATCCGGACGTGGCGAGACCCCTGGATCCCACGGCCATCCTCCTTCCGTCTGATCACCCCGAAGGGAACCTGCCGTCTAAATCATGTTTTAGATTCTCTGGACGCCAATGGGGCATGGAGGGCTGATTGTCTTCGTGAATATTTTTGGGAGATGGATGTTCTACATATTCTCAAGATACACACCTCTCTAAGGCAGCGTTCCGACTTCCTGTCATGGTTTCCAGAGAAGAGTGGAGTATTTTCAGTTAAGAGTGCATACAAATTAGTCACATGCGATCATGATACAGTTTTTTCTGAAGGGGCATCAAGTGCGGCGGCAAATGGTTCCCGCTCTCTTTGAAATTGTGTGTGGCAATCTTTGGTTCCGCAGAAGATGAAGATAACTGCGTGGAAAGTTGTTTCTAGAGTACTACCGACGCGACATATATCCACAAGCTCAACTTGCCGACTATGTGGTCTGGAGGAGGAAGGCACATATCACGCCCTGATCGCATGCGACCATGCGAGAGAAATTTGGCTACATATGCGTGCAAGATGGCCCCTTCCACCTGATGATCTCCTAGTTGATAATGCAAGGGAATGGCTTATGCACCTTTTATACATATGTTCCGATGATGTACGTGACATGATTATCATGTTAGTATGGCGCATTTGGCAGCTACGTAACGACCAAACTCATGGCAAGGAGGTACCGCCAGTTTCTTCTACGGTGGAATTCCTCGACAGTTATTATAAATCCATAAGGTTAGCTGGTCGGTTTTTGGTGGATGAAATTCTGAAAGGAAAAATGCCATCTTCGGCGACTCCAAGAATTCTTCCCAAGAAGGATGTTCCATCCTTGCCTTGGCCGGTGCCGAGTCCGGGTTATGTTGCACTGTCAGTTGATGGATCATTCCAGGCATCAGATAGCTCGGCGGCCGTAGGAATGGTGTTGCAAGATCATGAAGGATAGATTATTTTTGCAGCATACTGGGTCCTCTTCCACTGTAACGACGCCCTGGAGGCCGAAATACATGCGCTCATGCAAGGTATGGCCTTGGCTATCCAACACTCGGATCTTCCAGTCGTCGTCCAGTCGGATTCTTCTGAAGCCTTAGCGAGCCTTTAGAGCAATGTTTTAACTCGCTCGGCTTATGGTCACTTGGTCCTAGAGATTAAGGAGTTCATGAGTAATAGGAAGTTTGTACCTCAGAAAATCTATCGCACTCAGAATAGAGTTGCTGATCGGTTCGCCAATTATAGTCGTTCCGAGCGAGCTACAGCTGTGTGGTTGCATTCGGTTCCACCTTGTATTGAGGGTTTGTGGCCTCTCAACTGTAACACTATGACATTTTAATAAAACTCCCTTTACCCCGCAAAAACAAAGTACAGGCCCTAACAGATTTGAGACACGAAGCGGGCACACACGGACAAAGGTCAAAAGGAATAGTTCTTAGCCTTTTTTATTGACATGTAAACGTCCTTATAAGTTAAGTTAAGAAACATTTTTAACTAACCTGACCTCTCAACAGCCAGGAAAACATGCGTCCCCATCTGCCACTGGTGACCACATCAATCAGCTGCTTGGTCTAGCTACTATATCAATACAAAATAGCTTGGCCCAGTCCAGCTTATACATGGCCGATTCATACATCAGTCAAGTCAACCCCATGTAACCATCAGGGTTAGTGAGAGCTGTCATCTTCTAAAAACTCAAGGTTAGCTCGCTATTTGTGTATCATATCATTCATTACCGACGCCCTCTGATTATCGAAAAAGGCATTCGCCCCGCTTTATATATAAAGCACAGATCACCAACAATTCAATTGTACCCTTTCTAGCCTCTACCTTGATAACAATCTTGAACAACTAATCTGGCCTGGGTGTCAGGAAGCCAAAATCATCAGCAACATAAAGGATTGAAAAATCTATGTTCATTTCGACCAAAAATACATGCAGTATAAACAATCATCAACCACATAAACAATTGAGAAACAGCGAAGAACCTGGACACACTGCTCTCATGGCGGTTTCTCGCTACTGGCTAAGCCATGAAGCAGAGCTCACTGCTCCTCCTCGACGTGGCATTTCTGCGGATCTGCAAGCAGAGGGAAACTTGCATCAGTTACTGGCAACAGCTGTGAACTCACAACACAAGTCTCGGCTATGATAGCATTGGTACTAGCATGTAAACATGCACTACAATGCTCAACAAATGGAAAACTGCAGAAAGCAGGAGTGTATGGATCATGCTGAATACACGAGCAGACACATATCATATGCTTCACATTGAACAAAGTGTGGTGTGATCTCATTACCAATGAACACTCGACATTGTAGTTTCAGCAAAGAGCATATTTACACCCAAAAAAGAATCCCAAAAACTCACCAATTTCAGTGCATTGAGGCCTAAACACTCCATGGATCAAACCAGATCAAATGGTCTAAACACCTATGCTGTTGTGCGCACTAACATATTACCAATTTCAATAGTCACTACTGACAGCCAGCAGTAGAGATCACAACAAACAACATTTTTTACACCAAAGAGTCACATGGTCCACTCCACAAATAACACAACCAACAACAAAGCTGATACTTGTCTCATGGTCTCACTGTAGCAAGAGTTTTCTAGCAATAAAGCTACCTCCAGTTCTCCACAATTTATTTCTCGCTGTAATCACGCCCATATTTGACCGATGCCTCTTCAAGCCGGTCGATGATTAAAAGTGTGTACCAGTATTTGCGAATGCTGCCCAACAGAAGATTATCACGAGGGGCCAAAGTTCAAGCAGTATGCTCCACACGAATTGCCGTGCAAACTCTTGCAAGGTCCAACATGGCCTGTTCCTAGCCAGCAAGGGTCCAGCAAAACGAATCCATCTCTTCCAATAATCAACATTTTTCCAGAGCAAAGCAAAAGGGCTAACGACACAAATGGCAATGGCGGTCTTGTAAGCGACTGGAGCCAGCACCAAGTACACCCCGAGAGCGAACGCGGCCGTCAGGCTCGTGACCGAAGCCTCCATGAAATGCACGGAGGAGCGAAGGTGGAACTTTCTGCTCCTCCTGTTAACCATGGGAGTCCCGGAGAACATGAAGCCGACCGTGGCCATCGAGGAGCAGATGAAGGCCAGCGTGTTGGCCATCATGAACGCGTCGAAGGCGTACGTGCCTGCGAGCGTCGGTGAGCCACCGTTGGGACGATCGTCCGCCTTGTAACCACCAGGTAGTGCGAATGTGGCTCCAAACGTCACTGTCGCTATCAGCACAGACCCGATGCTCAAAGTCTGTGTTGCATCCTTCATGCTATCTGATTCTATGTTTTTCTCTTCCGGTTTTAGCCGGTGATTTCTTCCGTATTTTTCCTCGAAGTGATCCTCGCGAGAAGTGCCGCTCCGAGCACCGACCATCGCGACTGCACGACGGATACATGCTTCCGAGTTCTACACAAACAAAAACAATAAGATGAATTAATTCTACCAGTGGCAATGCTTGAACGTTGCCAAAAAAGAGGGAGTCGAATGATAGATTACCTGACTGTAATACAATCCTGGAGGAACCTTATAGCGTGATAAATCCAGACAGGTTTCCCCTTTCGCATTTGGCAAATCCAGGCCTACCTTCAGATTCCCAAGCAGACGGCAGAACACTCGAAGTCTCCCACCTTGGACTGCAAGGTGCATCGCCGTGTTCCCCTCCTTGTCGCGCATGTTGAGAATCCATTCTAGCGACTTATCCCTGGTAGCATGATACAGGATCCCCATAGCCATGTTCTCGACGGCGACATGCAGGAAAGTCCGGCCACGCGCATCGCGCAGGCCGGCACTGCCAGGGTGCCTGTTAAGAAACAGGAGAACCTTCCTGGTCGCGCCCACTGAGGTAGCTATGTGTATTGGATATGACCCACGGTGGTCTGGCTCATACAACGCGGCTGGGTTTGCTTCGAGCAGCTTGAGGCAGACTTTTGGCCAGCCATCCCTCCCCAATAGAGACAAGAGCTTCTTGCGCATTTGTCTGGCGATGGTTGAATTGCTCTTCCGCCATTCATGCAGATCGTCATGAAACTGTGTTGAATAAGATGAGTTTGGCGACTTGGCTGCGGCGAAGTGAAGAGGCATACTCCCTGTTTCATCCTTTTGCACTGAAAGGGCCTTGTTCCACCTTAACAGCTTCTCGGCAAATGCTGCAAATTAATGGGTTCTCCATGTTATGTCGCACCAATCCAATCAAAAGATTCATATGCCCAGTCTACATATGATAAATTCTAAACTATCCAGAAAAATCTCTTCCACAACTAGGAGAACCTGGCTATAATGAAACATTCATAGTGCGAGCATCTTACCTTGTCCTCGGGTAGCAGCAGCATGTAATGCATTTGGTCCGTTTGGGCCAGAGTAGGAAAGACTTGTAGCGTGATCACTCATTTTATACAGTTTGTCAACGATGCCTTCATTCTTCAGCAAGATGGCCAGGTACATCGGCGAGGTCCCATTATCCTGCACATGATACACTTGGATTAGAAGACCGCACTCATATTTTTTTTCTTTGCACTGTTAATTCCCGTACTCTGCAATATATTGACTGCATATATGTTGTCAAATATTGCACTTAATCCGCATAAATTGGCCACCGGTCAAACATGGAGAAAAAAAGTAAATGTGTATTTTAAATATGGATTTTCTCGTCAACGGAACTGTTCGTGTATACGGGGTTGAACATAGTTATGTTTCGGACTCGTAGGCAAATGCACAAGCGAGCAGTACTCCTGGGCTGTGTATGCGTGCAGTTGGGCTGGCCGGTGCCCGGACTGGGCTTTCCACTAGAACCCCGCCTAGACATTGAGGCTTTTTACTGAAACCACGCCGAGACTCGGGCAAGATCCAAAAAAAGAGCCCAGATTTAGGCAGAATTGCTCCAGATTTGTCACTTTCGCGAATTTCCCATTTTCGCTTGTTATTCTCATGCCAGGCCTCATACCAGGCACGAGTTAGGCCGGTTTGCCTGGTTCAAGGTCAGTTCTGGAAGCTTTTTCCACCATGCTGCTTCTCCATTCCTTTTGGGCCTGTCACCTTTTTTCTTTGGTGGGCTCCCGAACTGTGGATAGGCGCTAGCTTTTTTTAGGGTTTGAACATGCGCACTAATTGACCATCAAACCTTTTTGGTGGCTACGTGCCACACGGAACGCATACTATAGCTTGCATGCATCGTGTCCTGGCTACCTACTGATTTTTTTTTGAGCATCAATACAGACACAGGCGCTCATATACACGCGCATACACTCACGCCTATGAACGCACACACGCACACCCTACCCCTATGAGCACCTCCGAGAGACTGAGTCGGCATATCATCTTGAGATTTTCGAAGTCACCGTAGGCGCCTCGTCGTCGACGGGAACGTCTCCTCCCACTGAAAGCGCATCGCCGGAAATCCTGAAATAAATCCAGGAATAATGCGAGCACCAGGATTTAAACCCTGATGGGTTGGGGATACCACTGTCCACCTAACCATCTCAACCACAGGTTGATTCGCAGGCTAGCTACTGATTGACCAACTAACAATTCTACCACATTGGTACCTTGGCTGGCTAATATACGTGCAAATTACCCGCCAAAAAAAAAACTACGTGCACAATGATTGACTAATTAATCTTCCATTCAGACGTACGGCAATGGGCAATCTTCTATGGCAACGGGCATCTACTAATTAAGCTTCCACGCATGCTCAAGGAGGTCAACATGATGGTAAACCACACCAGGGGCTCACCAAAGCGCTGACAGAGGAGGAGAAGGCACGGTGTGGCTCCATCCATCATCCTCTAGTCAGCGACGCAGGAGCACCAATCGCCGGACGTTGCTCAGCGTGTCCGGTGGATCATGTACGCCTTCAAAATATACTACCATCTTTCTTCTTCTTTTTTTTGTGGAAAAACTTCCAATCTATTCATCTTCAATCATGGCAATACAACAGATACCAGAAATAAAAATTACATCCAGATCCGTAGACCACCTAGCGACGACTACAAGCATCGAAGTGAGCCGAAGGCGCGCCGCCGTCATCGCCCCTCCATTGCCGGAGCCGGGCACAACTTGTTGTAGTAGACAGTCGGGAAGTCGTCGTGCTAAGGCCCCATAGGACCAGCACCCCAGAACAGCAACCGCCGCCGATAAAAAATAACGTAGATCGGAAGGATCCAAACCGAAGACACACGAACGTGGACGAACAACGATGAGATCCGAGCAAATCCACCAAAGATAGATCAGCCGGAGACACACCTCCACGTGCCCACCAACGATGCTAGACGCACCATGGGAATGGGAACTAGGCGGGGAGACCTTTATTTCATCTTCAGGGAGCCGCCGCCGTCTCGCCTTCCTGAGTAGGACACAAACCCTAACAAGATTGAAAAAACGACTAAAAACGGAGCCCTCCCGCCGGACCTTGCTAGGATCCACCGCGCCTCCATGACCCAAGGGCCACCGGAGATGAGGCGGACCTGCGCCGGTGCCAGCGAGAGGCACGAAACCTAACTTTCTTTCTTGGAGGAGGAGGCAAAGCCCTGGCTCTAGGTCTACCATCCTTCAAAATATATTACCTTAAAAGGCAGTACTGCAATTTTGCATTTTTATTTATTTACTACACTAAGGGCTACACTACACTCAGCTCAGTTCACAACCAGGGTATGAATTATGCTATGCTGAGACGCTAAATCAAATTTGCAGTCCAATATTGTAAAAATGAGTCTTTCTTTCTTTACTAAAATTTTGAAATGATGCTCTTTGCGAAAAGAAAAATTTAACCATATTCACATGCTAGTTTCGTATTACAAAATGAGGTTTCTATTTTTATCAGGCACAACGAGGAGGAGGAGGTTAGCCTTGATGACAGATGGCGCCTCGGAGGGACACCTTTCTATATTTCGGATCAATGCTGCAAAAGGATGATGATATCGATGAAGATGTGAACCATCGAATCAATGCTGGATGGATGAAGTGACGCCAAGCTTTTGGTATCCTCTGCTTTTGGCAAGTTCTATAGGACGGCGGTTCGACCCGCAATGTTGTAAGGCGCTGAGTGTTGGTCGACTAAAAGATGACATGTTCAAGAGTTAGGTGTGACGAAGATGCGCATGTTGAGATGGATGTGTGGCCACACACGGAAGGACCAGCGGAATGATGATATATGAGATCGAGTTGGGGTAGCAACGACCGAAGAGAAACTTGTCCAGAATCGTCTGAGATGGTTTGGGCATATTTGGCACAGGACTCCAGAAGAGCCAGTGCATAGCCGTCGACAAAAGCGTGCTGAAAATGTCAAGAGAGGTCGGGGTAGACTGAACTTGACATGGGAGGAGTCCCTTAAGTGAGATCTGAAGGATTGGAGTATATCACCAGAGAACTAGCCGTGAACAGGGGTGCGTGGAAGCTTGCTATCCATGTGCCATAACCATGAGTTGGTTGCGAGATCTTATGGGTTTCACCTCAAGTATACCTCAAATTGTTTGGGATAATAGGCTTTGTCGTCGTCGTCGTTGTTGTCGTCATCATCGTCGTCGTCGTCGTCGTCGTTGTCGTCGTCGTCGTTGTTGTTGTTGTTGTTGTTGTTGTTGTTGTTGTTGTTGTTGTTGTTGTTGTTGTTGTTGTTGTTGTTGTTGTTGTTGTTGTTGTTGTTGTTGTATGAATTTTGCACGTAAAAATGATAAAAAGTATGAAACTTGGTGGACCACGATACTCGGCGTGGTCAGAGGTAAATGCATTTGTTGGCGCTCCCCAACCAACCCGAGAGAGCATCAACTGAACCAACAACCACACTCAATGCATCTTGGCTAAAGAAAACCTCCGGCAGCCTACCAAGATGACACTGATCTCAGCAACCCATGGTTCTAGGATAAGCTCGCACACCAAGATGACTCTCATCTAAAAGAGGCCAAGGACACACCGAGGTACATTTCTGGCACAAGAAGCCCCATGAGGAACCTTTCTTTTACATTATCCAATATTGTACTTCTTTGAATATGTAAAAAAATATGATTAATTGGCTCCTTTAGCACACCGGTTGCTCATCTCCATAAAACAGCGAATGCTTGAGCTCCAACTGATGGTATCCTTCAAACTTAACCAATAATGTACTTCTTTGAGCAAACATAAAATACCGTACCAAAGTAAACATGTTAAGTTCCTCCCCTCCTATGTCCGCCAATCATCTCCCTTCACCTAATTCATCACTAGCTTCGCTTTTATCCATGTCCTGGCGTTGCTTTACATCATTGCCAACTCCGGCTCGCAAGCTCTTGCCACAAGTAATATCATTATGATATATTTTAACTCTATCAATAATGTACTTCAATGAGAGAACGTAAAATACCATCCCTAGCCCATCGTGTCCATTTCTCCTCGCTTTCCAAAAGGCG